CAGCATCCGCCCGGAGTCACTAAATCCATGTCTCCAAAATGATTAGGAAGAGTTTCGGAGTATTTGGCTATATTTCCGCATTTTGAAATTGAAGTCTTAAAATTAAAATTGATAAAATTAAAAAAAAATAATTAACAAAATTGAACTAAAAGTTACTTCAATTCCTCCCCTAGTACTAATTCTAAACTCCAATTCCATACAGCCAAACACTAACCTCATAGAATGTTAATTAATTTGTTTACTTACTGATATAGTTTGGTTAATCATAAATTTATTATGAAAAAAACAATTCTAGCCTAGTCACTAGTGAGAAGGAATCGCCTCCTTATCACCGATATGGCACAATTATCAAATGCCACGTGTTCGTCAAAAATAAGAAAAGGAAAATTAAGACTTTTATTGTTATTTTTCTTTACATATTTTAAATTCAAAATGGACATTTATCATTTTGTTATTGTGTCACATGAAGAAGAATTGACTAGTAGATAACTATTATTGTTGTTTAAAAAAAAAATCCAAGATTGAGACAAGTATAATTATTACTGCAGTATACACAACACATAATATGTAAAAAAGATGATGTCGTATTTTATGCCTTACGTGTTTCACTAATTCATTATTATATTTTTTTATTGATCTAGTTCTAGTTCTTTGTATTGAACAGCAATGTAAAAATATTACATTCTTGATTTAATAATATTATTTATATATCGGTACAATATATTACATGAATGTTATAATATTCTTGAAGTAATTAAATACTTTTTTTATTTTATAAAAAGAATGAAATTTACGATTTTTCAAACATAACATTTTTTATAAGTTATTATTTTTTAAATATGACATTTTTTTATAGAAGGAAATATGTTGATCGCCCAATATGGTGTAAATGCATCCTCCATCAAAATAGCAATGAATGGTCCCAATCACTAGGACAGAATCATCCTGCTACATTTTGTTCCTATCCAAATGTGCCCTATAATTTAAGGCACTCTCAGCTACTTCACCAGTCCTTCATTTAATCATTGCGTCCTACTTTCAGAAGTAACCCTCCATGACTAGGTCTACACTTAACATTCAAATGTGTAGACCAGGCACTGATATGATCACATTTGTCTGCTATAGGTGTTTTCGTAAAACAAAATGTTGTAAAGTTTCAATTTGTATCAAATTTGGCATGTGACAAAATTTTGGTCAATGGAGCTAAGTTAATTGGTGGATATATTGATTGACCACAAAGGAAGACACCGAGAGGAGTGGGTGTCTTGGTCAACTCATGCGGCTGGCTTGCTCGGTTGTCCCACTTTCAGAATTTGAGTTTTATATGAATCGGTCTTTTCCACGAGAATATACTATGTGTCCCGAGTTGTACTATGCTACGCCCTAGTATAACGCAGAAGGCTCTTAATTATGCATGTATATAATTTTATTTTATTTTTATTTATTTATTTTGTGTTAGGTAAATAAGAATAAGATAACGTCCGCATCATTTGAGGAAGAAGTTTCTAAAAATTATATGTGTGAACACTTCTTAACTATATATGTAGATATGTTTTGAGAAAAATTATAAGCACCTAAAAGAAAATGTGCAATAAGGATAATATCTACACCGGTTGGTACAAGTCGTGACACAAACACATTTACAAATGTCGGACTACAAATAAATCGAGTTGTTTATGAACAGCTCGGCTCGTGAACATAAACTTGTGTAAATTTATTTATATTCGTGAACATAAGCTTGTTATAGGGCTTGTTTATATTTATTTTTATTAGAATTCTTTAGTCTTCGATTTACCAAACTGAGCCTGAACTGGTTTTAAAAATGAGTTCAAATTTTTTTTTTTTTTTTTTTTTTTTTTTTTTTGTTTAAACGAGTTGAGCCAAATTGAGCCTGAACTTTTGAAATTATGATGAGCACGAACCCAGTCTGAGCAACCTAAAACTTAACTCGACTCAATTCATTTGTAGGGGCAGGACTCCTTCTCGCACTTCTCTTTTGAAGGAAAAATGGTGATCCCAATTCAACTAATGGTTCAGGTGCTAATTATTCGTGTATGCTAACGTAGGCACATCCACAAATGTCCAATATAAGACTGATGAGTCCGTCACTTCTCTTTTGAATGAACAAAAATGCTCGTACCAATGATTTAACTGATAATTATGTATGTATAAGTGTACATATTTTTAGTAATTAGGAATTTTACAAGATTAATTCTGTTTTACTAAAATCTCATCGTACTGATTTTTGTATGGTTCATTTTCAATCTATAAGTTCAAATCGAAATGGATGAACAAGAATTGGAAGTTATGTGAGTGGATTGTGATTTGTCAGATTTATGAACAGATATTAGGTTATGTTTGGCCGCATAGAGTTGAAGTTTTGAAATTAAAATTGGTAGAATTGTAAAAAAAAATTAGTTCAAATTCCTGAGTTATTTTTTTCCAATTTAATACTGCCAAAAGTTTAATTCATGGATATAGATTTGCATACTAAGCATCTTGGATTTCCAAATTCGTGAATGCCATTCTTCAATCAATAAGCAGTTCCGATGACTTTATAAATTTAGGCAATTTGGTAGTCATTAACGTATAAAATATGAATTTTGCTCCTGAAATTATTCATTTGAAGTTGGAATCTACTATTACCTGTTTGGTTTTGCCAAAAAAAAACAAAAAGAAAAAAGAAAAGATAGAAAGAAAAAAATAATCAAAATCCTATCTGATGCAATAATACATATGTCCCAACTGATGACAATAATTTGAGATACACGTTACGAAATTGTTAAAACATTAATCTTGCATCATAATATTTTTCTAATATGTATTACAACTTTTTCCTTGAAGACATTCCAACATTTTCTTAATGTGATATCCAAATTATCCTAACGGATTAGGACACGTGTGGTGTTGCCTCAGAGGATTTTTATGTGCAGGCGGCAATGACTACAATGTAGGTGTTTCTCTCTCCACAAAACAATTTCTAAGTCTCAGACTAATTAAATAATTTGCACAATAATAGTACGCTTTATGAAATCCTTTATGTCAAATGTATCCATTGTTAATTACATTCATACCGATTGAGAAGATTGTCATAATATTAAATTTTATACATCATTATCATACATTTGGATATATATAGGCCCTACAATACCCATTATTAAACAAAAACACTATAAGATCATATAATTAGTCTCTCATTTTAATACACTACTACTATTAATTATTTTTTCAGAAAATGAAAATAAAAGACAGAGAAAAGAATATTAATGCGGCCGGTAAAAGTGGACAAATAGTACTTGACAGTACAAACACCATTATTGTAGAAGAACCAACCCAATCCAAACAATGGTGGTACCAATGAAATATATATATATATATATATATATATATATATATATAGAAATGATAAATTTTTTTATTTTAATTATCGACTCTTCCTCCGAATATAGCATGGTTGAATTTTATTAGAACTCTTAAAAAATTTCCTATAAATATCTCTCTCTTTGACTCATTCTCAATCATGTTATATTCAGAAGAATAGTCAACAATTAAAGTCGAAATATCTATTACTTCTTTATATATATATATATATATATACACATACACCATAAATACTGAGTATATATATAATCGCATTGCCTTAATCATAGTCGCTCTACTTGGCTAACAATTTTGTGTACCACATGGGCTGTGTTGCACACCTGTTATCCAACTATTTTGACTTGTACTAGTACTTTGCTTTTTTCTCATCATTTATTATTGACAACCAACTGCCAAAACTTGAAGGTCTTACCCTATGGGACCTTGTGCTGTCACACTCCAACCCTCCATTGAAGACAGAGAATTAAAATACAATGACAATCCAATTCTAATTTAGGTTTACAAGTCATGGATTATTGTAACCGACACTTAATAAGTCGGGTGTTTGACATAACACGAGATTCATACCACAACATATGTGTGAGACATCTGACTAGTCAGGTATAGTTAATTTTGTTATTTTTCTTAAATAATAGTTCATATTGAAACTCTCACCTTAATCGTTTCCTCTTAATTATAAGAAAAATATTTCTTAGAACAAAGAATTAATCGAAAAGCTAAGCTGGGGTGTGCCCAACCGTAAAATGCACCCAGTAAGAGCCAATGTTAGTTGATGCATCTTGTGGTTTATACTCCGGCAAGACTCTAGGATATTTCTTTTGTCTAGTGTAGCATGACTATAGTTATTACAAGAAAATGATTCTTAGACAAAATTCTCAAACTTATTTATTAGACCTAAGGGTCCTATCCATTTCATGCAATTAATGTGATCTATTTTTGAGCTAATCCACTTTATCAAATAGATGAAAACCCTATAAATTTAACAAATAGATCTAAAAATTCGGCCAAATATCATTACTCATTATTATATTGAGAAACTATTTAAACTATCAACCTTGCGGTCCTTGACCAAAGTCTTGTTGTAACTTGAAAAAAATACTAAGACATGACCTATGAGACTTAAATTCTTTAGAAAAGCTTATAAGATCTAATGTGAATTGGCAACTTTTTAAAAAAACATGAGAAGTTTCATTTCATTAACTTGTTTGACTCGGGTGAACGTCTCAAACGGCAACCACAAAAATCCTTTCTTGGAGTCTAAAGTAATCTTGGTAGGATAACTAAACCTGTCCCTATAAACAATTAATACAACAGGGTCAGATCAGTAATTTAATCATCAACTACCTAGACAAGCAACAAGCTACCTACATAGGCGGCTACGTCATCACCCATCAGTATGACGTGGCACATGCATGACCCCTTCCTTTCCTCAAAAATTTAGACAAATTCAAACATTCATAACACCACGAAACCGGCCCAAACCCTAGTCTTCCATATGCACAAGTAGACAATAATATGCATATAATAAAATAAAATACATATATTTAATTATTTAATTTTTCTTTAATACACATTAAATTAATCCCTATATTCCATTGACTTGTAGTACTGTTTAAATATTCATGTCACTTTTATAACTCCTTCGTTTGCATCACAAAAATAATGCTTTTATCATCTCCTCCTCCTCCTCCAACACCACCACCACCACCATCATCTCCCTCTTCTCCTCCTCATCACCATGGACTCGTGGGACTTCCCCTCCGGCAAGTCGCCTAGGCGAGAGCTCCAAGGTCCTCGACCGACCCCCTTAAAAGTACGTAAAGACTCCCACAAGATCAGGAAGCCGCCGGTGGTGCCACAGCCGGCGTATCAGCTACCGGCACAGCCGCCCCGGCAACCGGTGATCATATACACGGTCTCCCCAAAGGTAATTCACACACACCCTAGTGAGTTCATGACACTAGTCCAACGTCTCACCGGCTCATCATCATCATCAGCATCAGCATCATCCTCTGCATACACCTCTATTGCTGATAATGGTGGTGCACCATCACCTGCCGCTCGTTTTGCCACCATGGAGAAGATCAACAAGTCTCCTGAAATGAAGAAAGCACAAAGTGGTGATCATATGGGATTGTTTGAAGGTATGGAGATTAGGTCTGAGATTATGAGGACAGGGTTTCCCGGTATCTTATCGCCCGGTCCGGGTTCGCTGCAGCCTATTCCAACAAGCTTTTTCTCTCCACCGTCTGATCCAAGTCCCCTGAGTAGTTTCTTTCAGGATTTGAGCCCTGTGTTGCAAGGTAACTACAAGAGTTATATAGAGGGTAATTTCATGATGCCTAGTCCTTCTTCAAGCTTTCTCTCTCCTCAAATAACATCCCCAACTCCATCTCTAGACATTTTCAATAATCTCTTTAATCTTTAACCCTTCAATGAGAGAGATGGTCTGGTTTTGTTTGGTGTGTCTTCAATGGTGAAGACGGCTAAAAGGACTAAATAGGAATTTAGCTTTTTCTTTTTCTTTTTATTTTTTTTTTTTTTCATTAAATTGGTGGGCCCAATGATGGGGTAGTTTTGCTTAAAATATCTTTCTTATCTTTGTAATACGTCTTTGGTTCTTTATACCATTTTTAGTTGTCATATATACTTTGTGGCATGTAATTGGCAACACATGCATAACATAACATATATATTTTATTGATTTGTTTTCTTGTATATGCCTTTTTACACCTAGTGTTTGAATGCACTTATTTTGTTTGATATATATATATATATATATATATAGTGTTAGTACAAAATGTAGCTACAAATATAAATGTGAGCAGGCTAGAGCAGTCCTCAGGGGACACTTCACATCTCTAAAATTAATACTATGATGTTGGGATGTGATTTAGACTGCTTGACTATTATATCAGTCTGATTAACTCAGTCAAGCAAGAGCTCTCATTTATAAATTACTTGTAACGCGTCTTTAAAATCTTAATTTATTGATTAATTAAAAATATAAGTGTACGAGTGTGAGAAGATGTAAGTGTATGAGTGCGAGAAGATAACGCGTTTTTAGAGTCTTTGATTTATCGATTAATTAAAGATGCGAGTTTACGTGAAAATACTTATCAATTTTAGGAACTCAATTCTAACCTTATGTATGAGTGTGAGAAGGTAACACGTCTTTATAGTCTTGATTTATTAATTAATTAAAGATGCGAGTTTATGTGAGAACACTTATCAATCGGAGTTACCTAAAAAGAATTAGATTTTAATCTTATTAGCTGACACACAAGATCAATAAACTGTCTTACCTTCCTCACTAAATGTTTCAGTTCTTGTAAAAAGCTTAAAAAAATAAAAAATAAAAAAATTCTAATAATTTCTTGAAATTTGCCATTTTCAGCAAAATTTCTTCAAAAGCAAACACTGAAAATGATTTGGTATATGCATTTGTTTTTTAATTTAACTTCATAGAAATACCAAATAGGACACTAAATTTATCCTGTGCTTTTTCCTTTTTAAAAAAATAATAATAATAATAATATGTAGAAAGAACTATTCTTTACTTCAAATTATTAGCTCATCATTCCTCATATATTATGTCTAATATAAAAAAAATAGAAGTATTTGAAACCCTATTGTAAAGGACATTGAACCGACAAAACCTAAGTTTAATCCAAAGCTAATTCAGACTTGCATGGCCCTAGTATATGTTTCGACCAACCATTTTAAAATGAATCAATCATTAAAACGCATAAAATTAATTAATTTTTTATCAAAGAACAAGTTATAAAAATTAATCAATCTTAGGAACTCGATTGTAACCTTATGTGTGAGTGTGAGAAGATAACGTGTCTTTAGAGTCTTTGATTTATCGATTAATTAATTAAAGATGCAAGTTTACGTGAGAACACTTATCAATCTTAGGAACTCAATTGTAACCTTATGTACGAGTGTGAGAAGGTAATGCGTCTTTAGAGTCTTGATTTATCGATTAATTAAAAATAAGAGTTTACGTGAGAACGTACACTTACCAATCTTAGAAACTCGATTATAACCTTATTTATTTTTATTTACCTAAAGAATTAGATTTTAATCTTATTAGCCTACACACAAGATCAATAAACTGTCTTACCTTCCTCACTAAATGTTTCAGTTCTTGTAAAAAGCATAAAAAATAAAAAATTCTAATAATTTCTTGAAATTTGCCATTTTCAGCAAAATTTCTTCAAAAGCAAACACTGAAAATTATTTGGTATATGCATTTGTATTTTAATTTAGCTTCATAGAAACACCAAACATGACACTAAATTTATCCTGTGCTTTTCCCTCTTTTTTTAACAAAATAATAATAATATGTAGAAAAACCTATTCTTTACTTCAAATTCCTAGCTCACCAGTCCTCATATATTATGCCTAATATAAAAAATAGAAGTATTTTAAACCCTATTGTAAAGGACATTGAACCGACAAAACCTAAGTTTAATCCAAAGCTAATTCAGACTTGCATGGCCTAGTATTTGTTTCAACCAACCATTTTAAAATGAATCAATCATTACAAACGCATAAAATTAATTAATTTTTTTTTTATCAAAGAACAAACTATAAATTAATCTAATACTTTTGAGCAGCTTATAACAACAATGTACAAACACAATTTGCTCATCATCTTTATTTGCTTCATTTTCAAAAAAAAAATCACACACACACACAGATACACACACATTACAAGTAAATGATGGATGACAAAACCTCATATACATTGCCAGCTACCCTCTAGAAATGGTGGGGGTAGTGCTATAAATCCAGTGTTTGACAAGACACACACATATTTTAGGGGGGGCCAAAGTCAATAAAATGAGTAGAATATTCATTTTCTTGTGTTAAATATTGGAGTGGTTATGTTAAGGGCACGTTGTGTGGAAAATTCAGACATTATATTATTATATTAATTAATGTCATTGTAAAGTAAATAAGTGTTGAAAACAAAAGTTAGATGTTTCTAGGCATGACTTGAACAGATTGGATTAAGGAGAAAATAAAAATAAATTAATTAAATAATATCTAGGAGAAGTTTCGATGAACCTAATACACTGAGACGTGTAAGTAATAATCAAACTGGTTAAATGGATTTGATTAATCTCTAGATATGATTCATTGTAGTCCCAGTTAGGCCATGTTCATACAATATCGAAAAAAATATACGATTAAGGACCTTTTTTTTTTTTTTTTTTTTTTTTTTTTTTTTTTTTTTTTTTTAAACTATAGTGACTTTGAAGAAGATGAAAACTTATCGTCATGATAGGGAATATCAATGAAGAAAATGGGGGTCCCTATGATCTTTTGATGTGGATAAATATTGGGGGTTTTTTGTATTAAAAAAAAAAAAACGCTATTATGATTGTTCATGGATCATTGATGTTTAAATGATCTCGTTCGAGATATTTTTTAAAAAATAATTTAAATCACTTCTGAATTGAAATTTGTTATGTGAATGCTTGAGAGAATTGGAACTCCTAATTTTTAAATGTGACTTGGAGCATTACTAGGATTAAGGGTGCAATTTGTGTTCGTGGATCGTAATCGTGTCGTGTCGTGCCGATGTAAAGGTATTATACTAAATATATAAACCTAAATTCAACCCATTTAATAATCGTGTCAAGAACCTTCAACATTAATCCAAATGTACTAACCTGTTTAATGACCTATTTATTAAAATGAGATATTTAATATTTAATCAAATATTAAATAATAGAAAAAAAATTATTACAATTAATCCAAACATTCAAAATAAAAAGAAAAATCATAAGGCATGGACAAGGCTTATGTTGAAATGACTTAACTATCCATAATAATTAGATTTAAATATGTAACATATTACATAGGTCATAATTTTGATTATAACATATTGAGTTAAATAAGTCATAAACGGATTAGACGGGTTAACTCCTCAACCCTAACCCGACACGATTAAGTAAACGAGTTAATCGTGTATGATCTAAATATATTTATGCCAAACGCAAATATTTTTAACTCGTATCGTATTGTAATTTATCACTCTTAACTAAAATATTCCCTAGTTCAAGTCATTCAATTTTTTTGGGTATCCAAATTTACCATAATGCCTCTGTTTTTCTTCTTTCTTTGTTTATTTTATCACGTGCATTTAGAGATTTGATTACATGTCTAGAAAAATAAAAATTCTCCACTTTTTTCTGTATCGAGATTTATCTGTGGCATAACAAGACGCGGGAAAGACTTAATTTAATTAAACTGTGGGCTTCAATGTCCAGGACGAGTAATCAATTTCACAATTGGTTCTAAATACATGGTTTTCATCTTTGTGTCCAACTAGAGTCAATAAATCAAATCATATCAGTTGCTTACAATTGCTTCCAAGACTCAAATTACTCAAAAAGTTTGCTCTAAACTCCAAAATTTGAACTCTCAACGAAATTGCTCAAAGAGATAATCTTCTGATGTTAGACATAATTACACTGTGCATAATTTTTAAAAAATAATAATAATAAAATCTACACTAACACCTACTAAAATTTGACGTATGACTTTTACCGAGTCCCTCCAGAATCAAAATTTCTAACTCATCCCATGAGTCAAAAACATGATTTTTTTTTTTTTTTTTTTGTTACAAAAAAAATTACCCAATTACTCCAATGTTTTATTTACAGAACATTTTTTTAATGGATGTGCAGGTTTATTTAATTAGAAACAATCACGTACTTCCATATCAAGTCGGTTCACCTGTCCACACAGTCCAAAGCCGTTTGGTACTTAATACAAATAATTTAATAAATATAAAAATGCCCAGTGGTTGATTCCAAACGGGCATTTGGTCTAGTGGCATGATTCTCGCTTAGGGTGCGAGAGGTCCCGAGTTCAATTCTCGGAATGCCCCCTTTGTTTTACCTTTTTTTTTTTTTTTTCCAAAACAATTCTCAAGCATTACACAATATATATCTTAAGATTTCTCATTATTTGTACAGTTCTAGTACAAAACATAAACACCATCACACCAAACATTAACAGCTAGAGAGTGAGAATGAAAAGGAACATGCACGAACGCAGCAGCACACCAAATATGGGCGTTGGAGACTTTTGCACAGCATGCGCGACCTCATTGCCATGTCTCCAAACATGACTAACTGGAAAACGACAAATGAATCAAAAGCCATCCATAGCTTATCAAACAGAAGATATCACACCCTGTCCAAAGCTTTAGGGCGGACATGTCTTGGAACTGTCCAAACACCTTAAAGGTGCCGGTCAGTGACTTCCGCCAACTTGTACCATTTCGAGAGTAGAATGAGGCTGGGGTTACATAGGGAAGGCTTGGGGATCCAGAGATCGGCGGAGATTCAGTGACAAAAATATTCACAATTTGACCCGTAGGTTCCTGAAACGGGTCCCAGTCGCTTTCCAAGTTTAGATCCTTCCCTTCCTGGCCTAAACATGCCTTCAATTCATAGAATGGGCTGATGCTATAATGATTTTCTCAATTGGGCTGCCCACAACAACAGCAAGAAATTTATGTTGCAGTGAAAAGCTGTTCCTACAGCTTCCACAGTTGTGATTGCTTTGACAACCCACCTATACTACAAAAGATAGCTTTAAAAATGTCCAAAATAAGAGTTACACTATTCTTCGATAAGATTAGCTTAGACAACTTCATACAAAAACCATGTTATAAACATGAATAGACAATGCTTGTATGACTACTAACGCCGCCGTCCTAAAACTGCATCAACCCCCCTCTCTTCACAGACATATGGAGGGGGAGAAATATACACCACATTGAGGACAAGCCTATATTTACTACTGCATCTATTGTAACATTTATCACCCCCCATAGAATTGGTCAAAGTAAATTCCCAGGAGACTCATTCCTTTTCTTTTTATAATCTGGGGGATTGCTCTTCGGATTTGTATATGTTGTCCTATTCACAAAAACCTGCTTTGCCGGTATCAATCTTCATATCCCAGTTCCATATCTTGCTCATGTTCACCTGAAAGCTCGGGACTGTCAGAGCCAAAATACTAAAATTAGAACAAAATACACAGTTCCAAGAAATATATCATGACATTGTGGAATGGGAAAGAACATTGGTGAGAAGCAGACCAATAACTATCACATTTGCTCAAAGCGCATGGAGGACTCAGTGCATCCCAATTCTTGTCTTCACAGGTCCTCTCTCTGTCATTGCCCAAAACATGAGCTGAATTTGAATGCACATCACATGCTTTGTTGCTATTTTGAGCCATAAGATCATAATTCACTTGATGGGTAGAGGAAGCATGCTTTCCCTTGAATACCCCCCACAAATAATACTTTCCCTGGAATTCTGCAAATCAATTTTTTCTAGTCAAAACTCAGTAGAAAAGGAAATGATGTTTTTTATTTATACATGGAAATTTCGACTCACTCCAGTACCGCAAAGGCAGCATATCAGAAGTGAAAACCAAGAGCTCGGCATTTTTTACCATGACTCTCATGGCAAATTCTCCGCCCACCATGTCATCAACCAAGCTGTCAAAAAAGCTCTCATATCTGCAACAACAAACATAAAGTACGAAAAAGGGTGTAAGACGAACAATTTCAGAAAATTATACCCAAAAAAAAAAAAAAATTTGAAGCCACCACGTTTTGTTTTGGGGAAAAAAATATAGGGCGATGTTGTCATCACACGGTTCTGATCTCTGAAAACTCTTTGGCCACACATTAAACTTGGGAAGCATTTCCGTGCAAAGCAACGTGGGTAAGAAACTAGCTTCTTCGTACGCTCTCGGGCATGCTTTGCTTGACAAATGAGCTACAACTCCGCCAAATATGCCATACTTCGTATTGCAGATATTAAAACTTCCCCTGTCAAAGAAACAAAAAATAATCCATACGTTTCAAAAGATGTTCAAGTACCAAAATCCACCACTTTATATATGGAAAATAGAGAAATTAAATAATTCCTCACCTCCAAATTGGATCGATGATTGGTTGGGCAAGGAGATGATAGTTGTGTTCGAAAGTATTAGAAAAATGACCAGCGGATGTTTGAGATGCATCAATTCTAACACAGCCAACCTCTTCATCAAGTCTGCTCCCTTCCTCCAGCTCTCTATGTGCTCCATAAGAGTGCTGAGGTTGGCTACTTTGAGGCTTCTGTTCCGCTGTCTCGGCTACCGAGGGAGTAACATCCTCTTTCTTCCACCTCAATTTTATTTCGAGGAGAGAACAATCACCTGCCAACTCAGCACATTCATTAAAATCAAGATTTCTATGTCCCTCACAAGATTTCTGGGAGGAACTGCTTTGATGCTTCTGCTCTTCTGTCCCAGCTACTGAGCAAGTAATGCCTTTTTCATTCTTCTTCTTCTTAAACTTTATTTTCAGACGATCACCCACAAAGTGAGCATGTGCAGTAAAGTCAGACATTGTCGGTGACCCAAGACATTGTTGGGTGGGGCTACTTTGATGTCTCTGCAACTCTGTTGCAGCTACTGAGCCAGCACATTCATTAAAATCAAGCTTTCTATGTCCCTCACAAGATTTCTGGGAGGAACTGTTTTGATGCCTTTGCTCTTCTGTCCCAGCTACTGAGCAAGTAATGCCTTTTTCAATATTATTCTTCTTCAACTTTGTTTTCAGCTGACGATCACCCACCAACTGAGCACGATCGGTCAAGTCAGGTATTGTAGGTGACGCAAGACGTTGTTGGGAGGGGCTACTTTGATGTCTCTGCAACTCTGTTGCAGCTACTGAGCAAGTAATGCCTTTTTCATCCTTCTTCTTCAACTTTGTTTTCAGCTGACGATCACCCACCAACTGAGCACACTCAGTCAAGTCATGCTTTGTAGGTGACTCAAGACGTTGTTGGTTAGGGCTTCTTTGATGTCTCTGCAACTCTGTTGCAGCCACTGGGCAAGTACTGTCACTTTTCTTCTTCTGTTTTATTTTCAACAGAGAACAATCATCAGCTGGATGGGCACACTCGAAGTCAAGCTTTTCATGTGCCTCTTGAGGTTGCTCAGAGGGGCTACTTTGACATCTCTGCTCCTTTGTCTCAGCTACCAAGCAAGGAATATCTTTTTTCTTCAATTTTATTTTTGAACCGGTCACTTGATCACCTTTTGAACTTACACGATCCCTTTTCTTGGAAGGGTAAGGACTAGGTTTCTCGAGAGGAAATTGCTTTGCCACCTCTGGTTTGCAGTCCTCACAAAACCAATAGACAAACTCATCAAAAGTTGCTGGCAATATATCCAAACAATAGCTGGAAAAATCACAGGTGGGAGGAAGAGAATCAGTGGATAACCAACAACTAATTTGCAAAATTAAAATAAAAGGGGCCACGTTCAGCCACCACCCCAAAAAAATTAATCTGGTTTCTTCAATAGCATATTGAAGTGGAATTAAAGTTCAAACACGATTAAATTTAATATTTCGAGAAACACCAATTCAATGGATTTTGTCAAATTTTCTACGCTTCTATCTCATTGATTTCAATTCCCCTAGCCATCCAAATGGAAACCAAATTATAACCTCCTCCTCCCTTTCCACAAAGATATAAAAAGGGATAAAAACCGCTAGAAAGGAAAAGGGAGTGATGCAGCATACCGATGCAACGCAGAATCCAGACACTTGACACAGTACACAAAAGCATTAGCATATCCTATGTCACCGCACTGCTGACATATTGCCACCTACAACAACATGTGAGTCAGTACTTGTGGCAAAGATGTGCTATATCTGTTGTAGACTGCACATAGAGATATTATTAGAGCCCCATGGCCACCCATCTCCGTTGTTATAGGATAATCAACTGCGATTCAGTACTTGTTGCATGATGCAAGTATTATAAAAAAATACCACTCTATGTTCAAAATTTAAATAAGGAAACAATTTAAGGCTGGCTAAAAATAGCAGAAACCAAATCAAATTGTCTCCAATTCACTTTCAAAATTAAAATTCACTAATACAATTTCCCAAAAACACCTTGCACAAACAATTTGAGTGTGTTCAAAAATCATGCAAAACTCCATTGAGACTATCATCTGCGGAATTTTCCAACAGAACAACACTTCATGCTCCAAACACCATAATGCTGTGTAATAATATCACACTCCAATGCCGAATCTGAAAAGGAGATCATCAAGGAGTGCGCAGCAGAACAAAGCAGCTTTTGAAGTATATCCAATCAAACAATTAATTAAGAAAATTTGGAAACATGCCATAGCCGGAATAAACTTTTTTATGCCTTTTGACACCATTCAAACCCAAAGATAAGGATTGCAAAGGCCGTATTTGCTTATAAACAGTTGATAGATTTTGAATGGACATGCTTAAAAAGATTCACAATCCATATCATATTATGAACAATTAGTGTTTAAGGTAAATAAGTCACACACAAGTAACTAAAGATAACATTTGAAAAAAAAAATATTAATCATAGATATTATGGAAGTTGATGCAATTAAAGAGGAGTTTGTAAGAAAACTTATTTCATCAATTGCCACAATAGATCAAGATTTGCGGCAAAAGTGAAAGGTCTGACATTGTGTCAAAGTCTGTTAAAATTTGGATGCGGAAATAAGAAATACAAATAGGAAAAGGGAAGAGAGAAGGAAGGAGAACACAGACATAGACATGGTTCGGCACTAAGGCCTACATCCATGTACAAAGAGCCACTAAGGGTTACATTTTTATTATTCAGATTTATGTTTTGTTTCAGTACAAAGAGCCTATATATAGGTATGGTAAAGATAAGAAAATATGGAAGGTGTACAATAGTCAAAGGAGGCACTGTGATTGGTGGATGATTTTGTTCCACCGCTATATAGAAATATTTATATATTTCAACAATGTGAACAAAAGCAGACAAAAAATGTATTAACAAATCCTCAATAACAACCTGTGCATCAGCACCGAAGCCAGAGATCTTAGTCTAGAATACACCCTGGCAAGGAGCATTTGAACAACCTTGCAAGATGATTCATCTATGAAGACCTCAGAGTTCCTCTCTAAGGATAAACCTCGTGGATACATTCAAGACCTACTGGAGCTCATCTCCTACCAATAAACTTCGAGAGATACTGAAAACCTTGATGAGTTCCTCCCTTACAAATAATCCTCTGGGAGAATGTAGAAGACCTCGAAGAGCTCATCTCCTATGGATAAACTTTAAGGAAATACTAAAGACCTTGAGGAGCTCCTCCCCTTATGGATAAAACTCGAGGAAAGGTCGACTTTTGTACAAATCTCCATGGGGTCTTAACACTCTCCACAGGAACTCATCACTATAGTGAGCTCTCCTTTGCTATAAATAAGCCTTACCCAAGCACAAGATCTAGCTAAAATTTCCTCCAACAAGTAAGCCTTGCCATGAGAATTTTCTCTCTATAGATAAAGCTCGTCACCATGGTACAATCAGGATAGCCCGGCTGGGGTTGTTACACGGTTGTCTGACAGACTTTAACCCAATATTTTAGTAATCGGAAGAGAAAAAAGATTAAAAAAAATCAGTATAGCCCAAAACTCAAGGAGCCCCACTCCTATAGATGAACCTTGAGGAGATACTGAAACCTTGAAAAACTCCTCTTCTACGATAAGCCTCAGGAAAATAGTTAAAAATCTCAGGCAATGTTTTCTTCAAGTAAAAGAAGAACTTGGAAGTCAAAAAAACTCCTCTTCTACAATAAGCCTCAGGAAAACAGTTAAAATATCAGGCAATGTTTCCTTCAAGTAAAAGAAGAACTAATGGGACTTCGAAGTTATACAACTAATAAGGTCTTGCTTACTGGGTTTTATATGCATTTGGCTTGGAGGTTGGAATCCGAAGTCAATCAAAAATATCTTGTCCAAACGACATGCTTCTTGATCGAACTGGAGTGAGAGAAACATCGCTCAAGATAACCACATTTCATGTGCATCCAATGGTCAACCAAATGTTGGTCCCACCAATGTGAGGTGTGGGAGGGGTTAAATACAAACCTAACTTTTAGCATTATTTGTACAAAGTCACATACTACAGGCTACAGGTTTAGTAGTCTAAGCATTGCAATTGCACCAAGAAATACAAACACGTTAAGCAATTGAAAACAAACATGCAACCAAAAAGATTCTAATATATGCAAGTCATATCCACATGTCCATTTCAGTTACACCTTTCCACATTATCCTGATAAAATCAGCCTATTGAGCGCCATTTTAGACATAAATATACATATATATATGTATATGGACATCAGAACTCTCTCAGAAGATAATCACCTTATTTCTAAGTGAATCATTACCACTCAACATGTGGAAAATATTATTCGCATGGATCTTGAGCAGATCCCACAAAGTATTCTAATGCCTAAAACATATTAGATGCAGAAAAATGCATGAAACATGATTAGGATCATCATTTTCTATGCCGAAGATACTTTTCAAGGAGCACAGCACAATTGTCCAACAAAGACAGACAATGAAAATCCATAACTACTAATGCACAACTACCATGAATACTTTTCCTTACATGCATAAGTATATACAAGCTCAACTATGGAGTAGTGACCATGTTCTTCGCTGAATTTCAAGGTGAATATTGTTAAGCAAATTAATCCTTTTCCCGTGCATATATGAATGCATCCTAATTAAAGCAGGTCCTATGAGAAACTAATATGGCAAATATATATTTTAGTTATAACAGTCTTATTAGGAGTTAATTCTTAAGAATATGATTTTTTTATAAAAAAAAAATTATAGAAATTTTAAGGGTTTTAGCAATGAAATTTGGGGCTTATATTGTTTCTATGCTTAGTAAGGTTAATTAAATAAAACATCCCTGTGCTTTTAGGGTTCTATAAGGCCTATAAATAGGCTCTTAAAGGATACTAGACTTGAACATGAATCAATAATGAGTATCCTTGAGAGTTTTTGTCTCTCCCTCTCATTTTCCCTCTTTTTGTCATCTCTTTATTATCCAAGTCTAATTTTCTCTTCTATGAGACTAGAAGGCTCAGAAGTTGCCCATATCACCTCCCTCTCTTATTATCTATTCTCTTCTCTAATTCTAGGTCACATAAAACAAGTTGGTGTCTGCATAAAAGCATACAAGGTGTGAAATTTGTAAACTGATAAGAGACTAGGCTTTAAAGCCCCTTTTTTGTAAATATTATATACAGGGTCAGGGATAGAAGTTTTAGTCCAAAGAACCACAAGAGAAATTTGATAACCCAAAATTTCTTTTAAATAATGATTGTGCCTTTCCTGCTAATCCAAAGAATTGAGAGTATTCAAAAGCTGACTGGTCCTCTTATGGCCTCTTTGGCTTGGGAGCTGGCTTATGTGGTCAACTCTTAGGTCTAGAGTTCGGGATTTGTAAAGAGAGAGGAGAGTATTCAAAATATGTCAAATCTAATACATTCCATTGAAACAGCATATGTCAATCGTATCATCTTCACTTGCTTGCTTTCGGCTACTGAACTTAAACCATATAGGGTGCAGCACTCCACCGCTTCACCTAGCATCACTATGTTTGTATTGCTCTCCCACAACCACTGTTCAGGCTGCTTCCATTTCTCGTCGTTAGCAAACAGCTAAAGGCAATTGCATGTAGAAGTGTCGAAATGTTGGCCTCTTGGACCTAAATTTTGGCATTTAAGCCTCGTAAAAAAGGTTTTTCTAAAAGCAACAAAGTCATGTACCTAAAAGTGGCACCAACAAGCATGCCCACCAACCATTAAGAAATTATCATACGGATTACCGATAAATTAACTATTAAGAAAAGCTTCAGAACTACATATATTGCTTCATAATCATCAAGCACAAAATTTTGCTAAGTTAAGCTACAATACAGAGATAAAATAAAAGAGTCAAAACACCACCAATGGGTATTAGCTCAGATCGTATCTCTCCTTCCCCAAAGAGTAGGTTGAGCCTTTGCTTCAACTTTAGAATATATATACATAGGAGGCAAAACATGCGTGCCTATGTAAAAAATTCATAAACATTCATCAAAATTAGATAAAGCATACTAAAACAGCAGTTCAGAAGCCATAAACAAAAACCCATCACACAAAAACACACTCACACACACACATATATATCTACGCACACATTTATATATGTAGCAGATGAACCCGGATGAGAAGTGGGAGAGGAAACAAACTTACCATGGTGAAGTGAAAATCAAGGGCACACCAAGAAATCGACCAAAGGAATTGAAATTCTTGAGAAGAAAATCATAAAAACAGTGAGGAATTGAAGTGGGGATGAAGAACACGGGTCAAAAGTAAAGGTGGTTCGAGAACTTGAATCGACATATTTCCCGATTTGTTTCTGGGAGAATATTAAAGGACCTCTGTGTCGTTTGTAGCATTTTAGGAAAATCATCAGACTAATAATTAGAGCTGGATAGGGATTCATTGATTCTAGACTTGTAGTTTGTCTTGGCAATTCTAAAATGTAATATATCGATTTAATTTTAAATCTGATTTATTGTAATGTTTTTTCATGGATTGAGTCTAAAATCTAAAGCGGGTTCAAAGAATAATCATACATATAAAGTAAGCAATCTTTTAGAAAGAAAAAATACATCTAATTTTGTTTTTTAAGAACTCTAAAGAGAAGTGAAGTGTGAGCAATCTAAAATATTTCGTTCTAGTACTTTGGCTATTATAAAGTACACCATTTCTTTTTCTTTTTTTTTTTTGTTAATTTCGAAACAACAAACAAACAAACAAAAACTAGAAACAGAAACCCCGGTGAAGTGATCGTGAGTTTGTGTCCATGTGACAACTTGTGAAGTAATTTGGTTTCTAGTTCCATGTGACAACTTGTGAAGTAATTAAGGTAAGCTACCAAAAACACTCATATAGTATATGTATATAAGTGTATTACTTCTTATGCGTTTTAAAAGAAAATATTTAATATTTAATTTTAAAATAAATAAAGACTTGATTGTTGAAAAAATTAAAGTATAATTAAATAAAATAAATAAATAAATAAACTTAATTAAATATAAAATGACTAAAGTGTCCATCTTTTCAGTTCAGTGTCTACATATATAAGGGAACACTCATATAGTATATGTATATAAGTGTATTACTTCTTATGCGTTTTAAAAGAAAATATTTAATATTTAATTTTAAAATAAATAAAGACTTGATTGTTGAAAAAATTAAAGTATAATTAAATAAAATAAATAAATAAATAAACTTAATTAAATATAAAATGACTAAAGTGTCCATCTTTTCAGTTCAGTGTCTACATATATAAGGGCATTATCGAAAGACGTATGGGTATTTTTGAAATTTTATATTTTAAAAATATTACGAAATAGTGACATCAAACCTTTCTTTGCACATTTTTCAAACTTAACGAAGTTATATAAACATTATTAATAATGGGGTGTTATTTACCCAAAATGTAAATTACTAAGAATATTTTTCTCACTTTGTCTTATAATTAATTTGTTATTGAATTTAGTGTCAAGTATAACTAGTATAATTATAAATCTAAAAAAACGTATCTAAGAAAATGAATTAGCCAACTTATTTTTCAAGAGTCCACAGTCCCACTCGTTTCAAGATGTGCTCTTGCATGAGAAATTTATTTTTGAGGTTCTTATTTTTCAAGTGCAATCATTTTATTTTATTTATTAAAAAAAATTAAGTAGAGAATCATAGTAATTTTCTTTAATTTTTTTACTATATCGTCAACTCTGAGACACACCCAAAATTTGCACAATTTAATAGTTGAATTATTGAATGGAACTCTCCTGAATTATCACAAATTATCTTTTGAACTATGAATTCAATTTAAAAAATCACTTTTGTACTATTAAAAAGTGACAAACTACCCCTCGGCCATTACTATTGCATGAAACTTCTTTTTTTTTTCTTTGTCTTTTTTTTTTTTACCCTGACAAAAAACAAGCCAACTGGCATTGACAGATAAGAACATCAATCACAGGCACAGGGCCAATATACAAGAAACACCAATTGGCACAAAAGCATCCCAAAACTATTGCATGAAAATCTCTTCAATTATTTCGTGGCAAAACATCTTCTAAAGTATGCACTATATATCTTTGTACTACTAAAAAGTGACCAATGCACGCCCCCCAAACGGCCAAATCATTAGGATTGGAAGTACAATTCAATGGTTTTTTTTAATAATATTCGGATATTTAGATAATTTATAAATTCACTCCCAAACTGCATGCATCATTTAAATCAATGTGCTTTTGTTATGCGAAAGTCAAACTCAAGATTGGGAGTTTACTATTTGTCTAGAGAATCCTTTATTCACAAAGTTATTTGTACATATTTTAAGGGTTGGTTTGGTATGGTCTTGTTTTTGTTTTTTTTTTTTTTGAACTATTACAATATCGATTTTGACAATAAAAGCATATTTGGTACGACCTTATTTTATTTTACACAGTGTTAAAATACTTCGTAAACAGTTGCCCAAAATCAAAACACCAAAAAGTTATTTTTTCCTATTTTGACAACTTCATAGCTAAAAACCATATTTTGCATGTTTCTATTTTCGACATTTCCACAGCAAAACATCGTTCCCAAATATACTTCCAATTTTTTTTCCAAAACACTCCTACAGCAAAAACACTGTTTTTGTTTTAGCCAAAAACAAAATACCTAAAACAAAGGGCATGCCAAACTGGCCCTGAGTTATGTGTCATTTGCATACATGTTAGCTAGGTTTTAATCCTAAGGAAGCTGCTAGCCTGCTAACTCTATCATATCTCTTATTTTATTAGGTATATTGCACTGACACTCCTAAAGTTTTGGTCAATGTCACTCAGATTTTGGTTAACAGAATTTTGGACAACGACACCCTTTGAGGTTTCAAAAATTTTCATTGACACCCCTCCACACAATAAAATGACCATTTAGCCCTTTGACTTGTCAACAACCATTAAATTTACCAATATAACCATTTATAAATAATTTTAAAGGACCAAAATAACATTTCCATCTCAAGCTAATACATATTGCCGCCGCCACCACCCACAACCAACACATCTCTCATCAACATCCTCATAATCAACATCTTAAACCTCAACCTTTAATCGTTTTTCGACTCATTCCGCTAGCGCTATTCGCCGGATCTCCTAGCTAAGAGCCCGTTTGGGATTATTTCTCTATTACTTAAAAGTGCCTTTATTTTGAAAAATTACATTTAAATGTGTTTGGTAACCATTATAAGTACTTTGAATGGTTACCAAATTTAATTCAGTAAAGCGTTTGAATTAAGTTAAAATTTGAAGCTTTTAAATCTGTGTTTTGAATAGAAGTTAAATATTTTAAGTAACTCTTTTTCATTAGACAATTTTGTCCTTTTTAATTTTTTATAAAGACAATTGCATCCCTTCCTTAATAAAGTTACTATTATCCTGCTATCGATTGTAAGACTCTAGATGAGGTATGGTCTGGTTCTCTTGCTAGTTACAGTAATCTGAGAATATTTGGGTGTCCAACATATGCTTATGTGAATGAGGGGAAACTTGAACCGAGGGCTAAGAAATGTATATTTCTTGGTTATCAGCCTGGGGTCAAGAGATACAGATTGTAGTGCCCAGAGGCTTCGGGAAAGAAGATACTTGTTAGCAGGGATGTGACATTTCATGAGTCTGCGATGCTTACTCTGCAAAAGGAGGTAGTTAATTCAGGGAAAGGTTGGGGTGTTAATGAGCATGTGGAACATGTAGAGGTTAAGTTAGAAGATAGTCATATTCGGTCGACTCACAAGCAGGTATAATTTCGGGTTAAGGGAGATGCACAATTGCAGCAATATAGTGTGGCTAGAGACAAGCCTAGGAGGGATATTAGGCCACCTGAGAAGTATGGGTTTTCACATGCTGATTTGGTTGTTTATGCACTTAGTGTGGCAGAGGATATTGATGAGCCGTGTACTTATCGTGAGGCCATCATAGGTGGAGAGTCAACACAGTGGACTGTTGCCATGAGTGAGGAGATTAAGTCAATTCAAAAGAACCAGACTTAGAAGCTAGTTAAGAAGCCTAAGGGTAGAAAAGTGTGGGTTGTAAATGGGTCTTCAAGAATAATTAAGGATTCTAGGGGTGGAAGATGCGAGGTACAAGGCATGCTTGGTGGTGAAATGCTATACACAGAGGGAAGTGGTTGACTTCAATGCAATGTTTTCTCCTGTGGTGAAACATAGCTCAATCCGAGCGTTAGTTATTATGGTTGTTTTGTATGACTTGGAGCTTGAGCAGCTTGATGTTAAGACTGTTTTCTTACATGGTGAATTAGAAGAGTAGATTTATATGCATCAGCCTGAGGGGTTTGAGATTATGGGAAAGGAATATCATGTTTGCGTACTGAATAAGTCCTTGTATGGGCTGAAACAGTCTCCTAGATAGTGGTATAAACGATTTGACACCTTTATAGTTGAGAATGGTTATTGCATGAGCAAGTCTGACGGTTGTGTGTATCACAGGAAGCTTTCAGATGGTTCATATTTGTACTTGTTACTATATGTTGATGACATGATGATAGCTTGCAAGAACATGTCTGAAATCAACATGTTGAAGGCTCAGCTTAGTGGTGAATTTGAGATGAAGGATCTTTGTGCTGCAAAGAGGATATTGGGAATGGAAATTCACATGGACAAAGGAGCGGGCAGATTGTATTTGTCATATATGCAGGCATCAAAACCTGTGAATACTCCATTGGCTGCCTACTTTAAACTTTCAGCACGATTGTTACCACAGACCGAGGAGGAGGTGGAACACATGTCTCGTGTTCCTTATGCTAGTGCAGTTGGTAGCCTTATGTATGATATGGTGTGCACTATGCCAGACATTTCACATGCAGTTAATGTAGTGAGTATATACGTGGATATACCTGGGAAGGTCCATTGGCAGGCTGTGAAGTCGATATTACGATACTTGCAAGGCACTACAGATGTTGGGTTAGTCTATGACAGAGGCAGCGATATGTGTGGGAGTGTTGCTGGATATGTTGATTCGGATTATGTTGGAGATCTTGATAGGAAAAGGTCTTTGACAGGATATGTCTTCACTCTTTGTGGGAGTGTGATCAGTTGGAAGACTTTGCAACCCGTAGTTGCATTGTCTACTACTGAGGTTGAGTACATGGCAGCTACAAAGGCAGTAAAGGAAGCTATATGGTTGAGAGGCTTGGTTGGTGATTTAGGCTTACAGCAGAATGATTTGGCTGTGTTTTGTGACAGTCAAAGTGCCATACATTTGATTAAAAATCAGATATCCATGAGAGGACCAAGCACATTAATGTCAGGCTTCACTTCATCAGAGATGTGGTTGCACAGAATACTATTGCAATGAGGAAGATTGGGACAACAGAGAATCCAGCAGATTATAACTAAGGTCATTCCTACACTTAAGTTCAGACACTATCTGGATTTGATTGGTATATGCAGTTGCTTTAGGGGCATGTGGAAGTGGCGAAAGGAGTAGCTTGATGGAATTTGAGTCACAATTTCCAACAATCTCCACCTTGACTCAAATTCCATCAAGCCAATCATCGTTTTCCATGGCATTGATTAAGACAATTCTTTTGCAGCTTCAGTTTTGACGATACTCCTGCAAAACTCCGATTCTCCACGTTATATGTTACTCGATCAGTCAAACCTCCAAGGCTCCACCTTGACCACTCAAGCTCCATGTCATATAACCAAACCGATTAACTCCACCTACAATTGAAGCCTGTTGCAGCACATGTTGAGACTTTTTGTGTTTTCTGGATCTTCTTCAC